GAAGAACCACAGGCATAAAGGGAAGGGGGTGAGCAGCAGTGGAGCTGTGCTGCTGTCTGGTTCTTGGGAGTTTTTGATTCCATGCTTCCCTGCCAACCAGCAGTGCCTGCCACTCGCATGCGCAAGGCAATGGTTCTGCGCAAAGAAACAACTCACAAATTAGTCAGGAAGGATTCTGGGCGTACAAGGAATGCACAAGGGGGTGGCAGGGAGCACCCTTTCCAAAGGTGAAGGCATGGAGGGGGCTGCCTGTCACCCAGGAACAGCTCAGTCTCTTGCCTATACGGTGGCACAGGACTCCAGACTCTTTTCTGCTTCCCAGTCAGAGCGCTGGCACACCACCCACATGGTGAAACCAAAATCGCCCTCTGCTGCTTCCCGGGGCATCAGGGGCTGCCTGAGTTTGGGAAGCACACACCACTTTGTGCCCCATCCTGGCATTTCTCACTTGGCATCGCTGCAAACTGAGGCAGTTCAGGGGATGCAACAAACTCCATTTCCTTTCTCTAGAATGCAGGGAAAAGCTTATTAAAGGACCTGAGATACCTCTCATCCATCCAGCTTCACTCCCGGCTTTCCCTGCCCCAGACCCTAGCCAGTTAGGAGGAACCAGATTTTTCCTGAGTTGTCACTTAGCAGGTAGGCAGGTTGTTAGCCCCGATGGCTGCCTGGAGTGGTGGCTGGGCAGGTGTGGGCACACATCCTCTGGCAGGTAGCCCTGGAGATGGGCACCCTCCCCTGAGGGCCGTCACGGCCCCGGGTGTCGGTGTCGGCAGCAGCGCCTGCACTGGCTAACGCCTTGCTGGAGAGAATTAACTGAGCAGCAGCTAGGGACAGGAGGGAGCAAGTGACTATGCACCCTTGTTTTCTGCCTCTAATTACTGTGTTCTAAACCACATCCCAACTGATGCCTTTCAGAGGCATCTGAGCTCGAGTCTATCTGGCGGCTCACTGTTCAGGATGATGCCAGACAGAATCATGCCTTGTTCAGGTAAGAAATGCAGCACGGGATGACAAGAAGCCAAGCAAAAGCATGGTTAAAATACACTGCATTTGCCAGCTAATAAGATGATTAGCTGTTTGATAGCTGAACAATTAAGTTAGTGTGGGATAGAAAACATACCAAAGCATGCCCTCTTGAAAGACAGACGCAAAAAAATGAGCTGTGGTAATAAAGACTGGAAAAGAGTGTGGGATTTTGTTGCTTGTTTGTTTTTAAAGAACACTTTTCAGGATGTTCTGTGGATTGAAGTGCTAATTTGGAAGGATTTTCATTAGCCCTACCACATCTTCCTACTCAACAGTGCTCCCATACTTCCTTGCAACGTCTGAGGAGTCTGCTTTAACAAAACTGGGATGTTGCATTCCTGGGAAAACACGCTGGGAAAATCTGAGTATAGTTCCTTGCACCCAGATATTCATCCGTGCTAATCAATGGACTAGTCATTAACAGGTCACCTTCCTATCTGAGATGTGTTCATGTCTTGAGAGCTGCAGCACCACAAGTTTGGAATTAGGGGCAGCTCTGCTGACTCAGATGGAGGAAGAGCTGTCTTCTGCTTTCTGTGGCCAGATTTGCCACCCCAAATGCATTCTGGCTTGGGCCAGGTGAGAGATGAAATGTAGCTCTTTTGCGAGAGCAATCTGGAAATTATGTCTTCAAGGAGAAGGCAATACAAATAACAGAGCACATCCACAATAAGTATCTGATAAAATTTCCACTTCAGTGACTGAAAAAGGCTCCCACTGTTTTGAAATGGGTTTGGGTATTTGAAAGACCAAGAGGCACTGCAGACAGTAGTGTTTTTCCAGCACTAATCACTACAGACACTTAAAGAGACCAAAATTGCTTTAAAAGATTGCTTGGTGTCCAAGTGACAATTATACTCAAGGTAACTTCTTGGGCAGTCTGGTTCAATCTATATGTCTGCACTTTAAGGGCTCATTTAGCTTGAATGATCAGTGATCAGAAATTAAAATATCAAAAGAAATGTGTTGTGTATGTGTGTTTTTAACCAAAACTGGCAACACAGAGCACATTAGCTGCTGCCTGCCAGGCTGTTTCCCTTGGCTTTGCCTGTGCACAGATGGGAGAGGAACTTAACGTTTCCCCTGTTATTACTTGGTAAGTTTTTTGTGCTTTCATATTGATTAAGCTTAATGCTATTTCCAAAAACAAACAAATCCTACCTACACTAAACCAAAAAACCCTTCCTACCAACCAAAACCCAAAACACTTCCAGTTGGCATCTAGTGACTTCCACACAACACCTCCAGCATCCTGACACTCTACAGGAGTCAAAACACTGTGGCACTAGCACAGCACAGAGCTGCAGCTGCTAAAAGCCACAGATAACACACATACATACCCAGACACCACTGTATATACACGTACATGAACACCTATGCAGCCCTTAGAAATTATGTGGGAAGATATTTCATATTTATTCAGTTTACTGCCCATTTGCCACTTTGAGGACAGGATGTCCGCCTTCAGAAAGCAGTATGAAGCAACGGGAGTCAAATGAGCTCTGGGAGCAATCTGGGCTTTTTTTGGCTTTCCTTTCCCCTGTGAACAGTTTCTTCACTAAGCTGCTGCATGATTTTTCTGCACAAGGCAAACAACTGCAAAGTTTCATCTCAGAGATAACCACCACTGAAGTGGTGGGTGCAGTGATTCCTAGCAATGGATGGAACACCTCTCCTTCCCAGGAGGTTCTTCCTTACATACATCACTGGGTCAGCCAGCCATCATGTGGCAGGGCTGATGCTGGTACCAGAGCAAAAGGAAGCTGGGTGTGTTACTGCAGACAGAAGCTGCAAAGTACTGTCCTGAATAAGCAGCAAAGCCCACGTGCTGCAGCGTGCCAGAGCACTCAGCAGAAGGGACATGCAAATACAGCAGGGGAGCGCTTAGAATGCTTCCTCTGAGTCACGACAAAGAGAAAGAAGCTGTTAAAACAGGGTAGGAATTGCCCCTTTCCTCTTATATCTCTGCTTGCAAGCTCTGCTCGTGGAGACTTTGATGGATGCAGCACAGAGAGGTCACATGGAGCTGAGTGTGTTTTACTCCAACCCCCCCCTACAAGCCTCTGCTACCTACAATGAATCTTAGGCTTGGGAACAGAGTCCTCCGTCTGGAGTCACAGTCCCAGACAGCTGAATGCTCTGGGAAGCTGACACGTGCCTTGGCTTGGGAGACTGCCAGCTCTTTGATGCAGCAGCGCTCACAGAGCCTGACTGCAAAGCATGTGGAGGAGGGAAGGGGTGGAGGAACCCTTAATTTGGCTGCCAACTTCCAAAGCATTCACTTGCTCGGGAGGTTATGTGACAGCTGTGAGTGAAGCAAGCGTGGGAGGATGCAACTGCAGGAAAGGGAGGCGCTCGGGCTGGGCTGGGTTGTTCAAAATGAAAGCCAGAGCACCATTTGCTGCAGCAAGACCTCTGCTGTGGGTCAGGCACCTCTATTAAGGCAAAGCTTTCCATGAGGACAGCCCCAGGAATGGCCTAGTTTAATGCCTGCAGAAGACAGTTACTGAGCCATTCAGCAGATGCCATGCACACTACCTCAGAAAGGAAGCCTGAATTCAAGGGAACCAACTGACCAGTGCCAACATGCAGCCAGGCAGCAAAGAAATACCAGAAGGAGCTGGAAACCCAGCTATGAAAGCTAGTGCTTGCAAAAGACTCTCCTCTGAGCCAAGGCAGGAGAGGAAGAGACAGAAGAGAAGCTGGTGACTGACTCCATGATTGAAGGAGGCCCTGTTCCTTAGCAAAATTCCATGTGGGTTTAAGGCACCAATCCCACTAATGCCTCAGACAAACAAGAAAAGGCTCCCAGCTGCAGAAAAGCTGCTGAAAACAAGAACAGGACAAAAGGCCCCAGGCTGTTCTCTGCTCTTCCAACATCTCGATCTTCTGTGCAAAAGCCACAGATATTTTGGGAATGATGAGCTGAATTTCTCTCATCCTGCGTTGTTTCAGTGGTCCAAACAGAAGATTTCAGCCTGCCTTCCTGAACTGGCCTTTAGGAGGTCTCCAGAATCAAGTTACTACCTGTTAAGTACTAGGTTCATCACACTCCATCTCTCCATTTATGAGGGGCCAGCCCATAAACAGCAAAATGGCCTGGCATGAGCCTGTGCTTCAGTAGTGTACAGTCAGCAGCAAGGAGGGCAAACTTTCCGTGTCCATGACTTTGCACTGAAGCCTCAACATGTGATGAAGACGGATGGAGTGACAGCATCTCACCTAATTTTGGACATCTATGATAAGGTTTCTTTACCCTTCAGTGACTAGACTAACTAGGATGTCTTTACATATGAGTAAAACCAGATTTAAGTTACCTTAAATATTAAGTACATCCACAGCTGTGCTGGTAGGACACCACTTTCTTCAGTTACTATAAACAGTGTCCAAGTCTAAGATCAGGTGAGATTAATCCTATCTCTAGTGACTCTACGTGGGATTGGAGACCCACTGAATGTTGTTGGGAAAATCTTCACAGAGAACCCAATGTTATGGTCATTGCTGGATCAGATTCTTTTTGAATTGCTGGCTGCTTGAGGGTTGCTTTCCTTTCCTAGTAACTTTTTATGTTGCCGGGCTTTTAAATCCACCCTTTAGCACCTTAAAGCTGAGAAACCCCTTTGGGACAATGTGCGAAGTTTATGAGATGTGAAGGAAAGCAGATGAAATGCTAACAGTGCAGCCCAGCACCCTTCTGGAATGTCACAAACACTGTCCTTGCTTTCTGCTCTGGCAGCCCCCACATCCCCACCCAGAAAGCCCCAAACATGAAGTTGCAAACTCCCCCTCCCCATAACCCAGTGATGGAGGAAGCGGGCAGATTCCATACCTTCAATAGGTTTGGGTACAAAATGTGATGAGGGTTTGGTTTTTTTCACTCGGTTTCCCTTCATAATTTGACCTTCTTTATTGAGTCCCAGGAACCACGCTCGTCCAGACTCCTGCTGCCGGTACAGCGTGGAAGAATAAATAACGTAGTAGTTTTCAAAGACAGACTCCTTAAATTTGCACTCTGGTGTGAAAACATCCTGCAGTGAGAGAGAGAGAAAAAAAAAACAAAAAACAAAAAACAATGGAAGGAATTAATCCCTGATCTACTAAATTAGGCATCACTGAGTGATACACGATGGTGATTGCAGTTATTTTAACAATAGAAAACAAGAGGTGTCACCAATACCAGCTTCCAGCAAAACCACACATCTAGAAAAGGGAAGGCTCTCGTTCCAAGCAGAGCTGTAGTTTGCAGAACAGCCTACAGTGAATGGGCATGAAAAATATGCAGGAAAAGTCAGGAATTTGCCCAGATTTGGACTGAAATACTGCACAAAATGAAAAAAAAAGAGAGGTGAGAAGCAAAGGACAGCCTTGCTGCTCATCTGCTGCTCCTAGTGCCTGCCCTCTTACCTTCCCTGTGATGGTCACGCTCTAAAATATTGAGGCTTCAAAATCTTACAGGCAAACAGCAGTTTATCAGGGGCATTTAAGTGGATTGGGAGAAAGAGGAGGACAAAAGCAAGTAAACTATTTATTTATTCTCAAAAGTGATGGAAGGAAATGCTGGCACAAAGCTTGGAAATCTTTCAATACAGAGGAAGAAGTAATTTGAAATATTTCTGACACAAGTATTTTTTTGGACCCAGAGATCTGGACGCACACTTGTCCAGGAACAGAGGACACGTGGGTCTGTCCAAGGCATCCCCTGAGCCTGTGCCTTTGCTGCTTGCATTGGCTTTGTATAAAGTCTCAAGGAGGAAACTACAACCAGCTATGAACCAGAACCTGTCATGTCCCAGTACCTTTCCAAGATTTTAAGAGGGAAATAGTAAACCTCTATTAAAAGAGCTGGCTGGCCAGGGGACCCTGTGGCAGCTGGCTCCCAAACCTTCACTGAGTTAGATAACATTGGTGGTGGGCTGAGGTTTTTTTCCCCAACTTTGATTTTGAGGAGAAAATCCATCCTGCCCAAACAAATTCTCCCACTGGGTTCCTTATAACTATGACATTCTTGCAAAAAAATCTCAAGCCACAATGAATGTTTTCTGAAGAAAAAAAATGTCTTAACAACAAAATCCCGTCTTGTACAACCCAGACAAGGTATCTCAGAGCTCCCTGACTGAAGGCAGGTGCTACTACAGGTGAGTGATGCTCTCTCCCAAGCCTTCACCACTCAGAAGTCTTTGGGAGCTTAGCCAGCCTTACTAATTGGAAAACCCATAACCAACACCTGAGCCAAGCATCTGCAGTAATGCCACATATTTAGTGCAGACCTCACCTAAGAGTGAATATTTTGAACATTCAGAAACACTCAGGTCCCTGTTCCCAAGTGCTTTGGGGGTTATATAAAGTGTTGCTGGTCTGACAATAAATCCAGCGTGCAACAGACCTACGGAGCCAGGCAGGCTTGAAGCCACAGAAGATGAAGCATAGCAAGAAGTGCAGATCTGTGCTGGAAGTGATGTTTGCATCAACCATTAGCACCACACAGATGAAGACACCATCAGTCCAACAGGTCATTTTGCCCTATTTAAGGGAATCTCCTTTCTGGAGAAATAAATATTTTAAGAAGAGAGTGAAACAAGAGAGATCTAGATGACTTGGAGCACTATAAAACAGTGTTTGAAGTAGCTTCCCAAAAGATCAATGTTTAAGCATTACTTGAATCTGCTCTTTATCTCCAGGCTTTGCCTTGCCTTGGAAGCTCACCCAGGAGCTGGGCAGTCTGCAGCAGCTGGCTGGCTCGGGGCTCTCCCTGGCATCAGGCCCAGCCAAGCAGCATGCCCCACAACGGAGAGCCTCTCTAAACCCAAACTGGACAACTCAGTGCTTTTGTTACTCCATCAATAAAAAAACTTGTCAAGAAAATTCCTTTTAGGGGGACTGAAAAGTTGACAGGCTCTAGAAGATAGCTTCCAAATTGACCAAAACGTAGAATTTACTGTGCATGTGATATCTGGATTTTCAATGTCTGTTTACATTTCAGTGTGGAACAAATATTATTTTTGATTTTCAATGAAGAAGAAAAAGCTAATGCATTTTAAAAATCTTGGTTTAGAAAGAAAAAAAAAAAAAACAACTAGATTAAGTTATTGAAAATTGAGTGTTCAGATAAATATCCATTTTAAAACTACCACAGTGGAATATTTTCCAACATACAAGAGTAGTTCATAAAAGCAGGTGCTGTATTGTATATCCACTTGCACCAATAAAGCAGCAAAATTATTATTATGTTTTAAAGCACATGTATTTAAGAACATCAGCCTAATGAAGATTTAAGAATAATAAAGAAAAAAAATAGTGATTTCCTTTAAATGTTTAAGCTCCCCCACAAGCAAACAGAACTGTCCTGTTGTTTTTGTGAGTTTGCTGGTTGATTCCTCATCCCCCACAATTCAGCTGAAATAGCACTTCAGGACACTAAGCATGGCAAGCCCACCAAGAAACATCCAATCTCTGTCCATTTGGTAGTTCAGAAAACTCACAGCTTTGACAACTAGATTCTAGCTAAACAATGCCAATTTTATCCATTATTATTATTATCGTTTTTATGTTTGTCACCTCATCAGTAACAGCATAATGTCCCACCATGCCATGTAGGGACAAAAACACGCCAGGACAATTAATCCTACCACCAAACTGACATGCCACAGGGTCTTCACAGCTTTGAGCACCGGAAATCTCTGGTGCAGGTACTACCGTGTGCCCAAGTGACTCAATGAGCAAGAGGATGGAGAAGGAAAAAACAGATGACCAGAAAGGAGATGAGACAGATGACCAGGACAGACGTCACACTCCTGAGCACCACCTGGGGTTATTTGGAGTGTCCTCTAAATCAATTTTATCATATAAACTCTTATGTTTTGATTCATCTATATCTTCTTGGTGGCAAATGTCAAGCCTTCAGCTACATCATGTCACTTAGTTTTTGCACATGCCTTTGGCTGATGGCTCTGGGGCTACCAGTAACAAAAGGCCACTGGGATATTAACAGTAGTATCTCTCCACAAGCTTTACTGTCAATATTAATTGTGGCAATTAAGTCAAATCAGGTGGGAACTACTGTTTCAGTTGTCTTGGGCTGAGAAGAACTGGGAAGAGAGGAAAATGCAGATGAGCATCACAGGCTTCGCACTAATAAAGCAGTCTGTAGTAGACACTGCTGCATGGACTGAAATCTGAGATCACTGAAAATCACTGACCCATCGTCCAGACCTCTGGGGCATGCAAGTTTGTTTGTTTTTTAAGATAAATTAAGCGTTGATGAAATGTGCTAGATAGGTAGACCTGGAGTCCAATACTTTCTCTTCACTCCACAGATATGGAGTGGGTAAAATCAGCAAAGAGATGTTCAGGCTGTGCCCCCTATGTGCTTCTGATGGGATATAAGGATGTTCTCCTCCAGCAGTAATGGTATAGTAAGCCCTGGGGTCAGGAGCACCCACTTCACTCTCTCGCTTGGTGCAGGGACCTTTTGAAACAGTCTGCTAATAAACCCCACAATTATTATCCCAGCTCTCTCTTTGATAGAAATAGCATGACCATGTACAAGGCAGTGAAGAGGACAGACGGCTTCATCACTGCTCTTTTTTTCAGTCATTCAACAAAGAAATAAATTGTGACTCCATTTTCTGCACCAACTCCATAGAGCTCTTGGTCCCCTGTTAGAACCATCAGGAACAGAGCTGACCCAGAAAACTCACCAGTTCTCCTCATTGAAAAGTACGCTTGTGATGTGGAGAAAAAAAAACAGAAATCTGTCTGGTTTTATCTTCATGTGAATGATGTGTCTTTGACTAAATTGTTTTGGCATGCAAAATAAATAAATATTTTTATTTGTTTACTATTTAGAAATTCAGCGCCTGAGGTATTTTGTTCAATGTCCATAGGTACTACTGAAAGCAGTTTGAAAAAGCAGATCTTTTTTTAATTGTTAAACTAAAACCCTGCATGAAATACATGTAAAAGAAATGTTTGCAATTTACATGCAAAACTAGTAGCATCTGCCTGCAACTTGTTTTCTGTATCTCAGTCCAATACCTTGAAAAAAAGGCAATTCCAGTAAGAGGAGTAATTAGATTTGCTTTGGAAACCAAACACAGATCTGGTTTGTGCTAACTCTGGTTTTACTGGAAATTGCACGGTCTAGAAAAAAAAAATAATGATGGTAGCTATCACACAGAACATTAGGGAAACCATATTCAGTGACACTTGGAAACAAAGGGAGCTAAATGGATGCAGCTGCTATTTGGGGGAGACTCAGTGTGTTAGACTTGCTCAGTGAGGCTAAAAGGCACCATGGATTGCCCTCAAAGCTACTTCTAGTTTAGAAAAACAAGATGTTTCATTTCTCCTTGATTCCAGTTTCATTTATTCCTTGATTCTCCTGCCATCTGTAGATGGAAATGTGGATGGGACTTCCAGGCACAAGGCAGTCTTAGTACTGCTTGCGCAGTCTAGTCCTTCAGGGAGATGCTGGGAATATCTGGCCCCATCTGCCCCCCTTGCAGCACAGACTGGGGGTGATTTGTGAGAGAAAAGCTTCTATGTCAGCTTTCACCTGCCCTGGTCAGATAAATCTAACCCAGCCTCTTAGCCTTGAACATACTCGGACTCCTTTGCACTTCCGTAAAGCTGGAGAAGCTCCACAGAGGACCACTTGTTTGTATTGTTTGCCATTTCCCTACAAACATTCTCAAAACTGCCAAATAAATAAAGATCTCTTTTTCTTTTTTTCCCCCCTTTTCAAGCTCTCCTTTTATTATAACCCAAAGGAGAACAGCAAATATCCACATCCACATGCAAACCTAATGACTTAATAAATTTAGTCACTGAAACTAGCAGCAATAAAAGAAAAAGCCCATTCTCCAAGTAGTTTGTGCCATGGTTTAGGAATGGGATGTTAATTATGAGTGTTGAAATATCTAAGGAACACAATCCCAGAGTAACAGTTTTCCTTTGTTTACAGCACTTACGGGTTTCTCTTTTATGTTCTGCACAATTACAGAGCCAGATCTTCAGATGGGATAAAAGC